TTAGCATATCACATGTTTGCATCCATTCATTTGTATTGCATACACTGAGGCTCAACGCATCATTCAAACTGCATTATTATTTCAATATCTTATTTGAATACGTGTTTAATCGCATGCTATTTAATTGAATCATATGTTATATTAGTAGCCGAGCCTATTAATTGCATTATTGCATGTGTTGCATTAGGCATGTATAGTTAGGATCATGCATATTTCTATCTAGCTTTTGTTTTGGCTTGGAGTACATTGTATGTCTTTACGCTTTAGCATACTTGCATGAGTGTGAGTGTTGTCATGATAGCATGCTTGCCATAAGGCTATTTGCTTAAGTGCTTAACTGCATGAATGCCTATGGATGAAGGCTTTGTTGCTTGAATTGGGACAATTCGATGAATGTGAGTTTTAAGCCCACTTTACGAAGTGGCAAATCATGTTTTAAGCCCATCATGTTTGATGGAAAATCCGCGTTTTAGCCCACTTGAGGGTGGCAAATTCAAACCATTTTTGAAAACACACATGAGTCGATTTGTTCCAAGTCTTGCGACTTAGTCTATACTTGTTTGTGTACGTCACATAGTAATGTTAGCTAATAATCAGAATAAGAACACATGAGGTTTATAAAACAACATATCATGATCAGTAGAGGCCGATCTTTGATCGGGCGAGCGGGGGTGCTCATGTCATGACCTTCCCCTCTCGTACCCAAGTTTCCGAGCCGAGGCAACTTTAGTGATGACAGACACGTGGCCTTTGGCACGAGTTAAGGTTTCCTAAATTTCCCAAAAATAAAACATTTAGGTGGCAACTCTGTAATCTGGCATAGTAGTCCAGTTTTGGCATTATTTGATTCAAAATCTGATTTTTCAAAATGATTTGTCGGATTGAAGTCTTTGGTGTTTATCAGTCTCACATTGCACTTTGTGAGATTAGATTCAGAACCGTGACAGGAGTTCGAACTGTAGGACCAATTTGAGCGCTCCGAAAGAGGGCGCGAAGAAAGTCGAGTCTATAAGTCGCAACTTATGGGTCTTCAAAATTTGAAACATCTCATCTAGGTCCTTGAGATGGTCCCCCTTATTCTTACTTTTGACCACCATATCATCTATGTAAGCTTCAAATGTTCTGCCTAAGAATGGTTCAAACATTTTGGTGATCATTTGTTGGAATGTTGCCCCTGCATTTTTTAGGCCAAAGGGCATGACCTTGTAACAATATAATCCTCAGGGAGTTGTAAACGATGTGACCTCCTGGTCCGGTTTATACATAGCGATCTGATGGTAACCGCAATATGCATCAAGAAAGCTCAGTCGGTTATGCCCCGCAGTTAGGTCCACCAGTTGCTTTATTCGTGGTAGGAGAAAGTTGTCTTTCGGGCATGCTTTGTTAACTGTTTTGTAGTCCATGCAAACACACCATTTGCCGATCTTTTCTGGTACCACTACAGTGTTGGAAATCCACCTGGAATAGTGTACTTCTCTGATTGCCCCTGCTTCCAGCAGGTTTCCTACTTCTTCCGCCACTATCTCTGCGTGGTGGAGTACAGATCGGCGAGTTCGTTGTATAATTGGTCTGGTAGTTAGGTGGACATTGAGTTGATGGCAGATGAAATTGTGGTCAATGCCGGGCATGTCATACGGTGTCCAGGCAAACACTTCGATGTTAGAGGTCAAAAATTCCATGATCTCTATTCTCTCGGTGCTGGACAGAGACGAACCGAGCAAAAAGAACTTCTTTGGGTTTTTTTCATCTATCCTTACCTCTATCAAGTCTTCCATTGCCTTCTGTTCGGTTGCTTTACCGACGTTTGCGAACAGCTTGTTGTTTTTTCGCTCTTCTACCATTTGTACAAACCCTCTTGCAACCTGGCTGTCGTTTACTGTAACGAAGCACTGTTTGGACATGATTTGGTCTCCTAAGACTTCTTTAATCATTCCGGCTTCGTTAGGGAACCATAACACCTGATGGAAGGTCGATGCCACCGCTCGCATGGTGTGCAACCATGCTCTTCCCAAGATTATGTTGTAAGTGGAAGGGACTTTCGATACCTAAAATTCCACTTGTTTTGTCATCGTTCCTGCGTTGACTGGTAGGATTATCTTGTTAACTGGCCATTGTCTTCCAATTTTAGTTGCTTGAAGGTCTCGTAGTACATTATCTCGCATGAGCTCCCTTGGTCAATTAGGATCCGCTTGATGTTGAAGTTCTTGATGCACAAAGTAACTACCAGTGCGTCGTTGTGAGGTCTTCATAACCTTACTAAGTCTTTGTCAGAAAAGGTGATGACGTTTGTTGCTTCCATTTTTCCCTTTTTCACGATAGGTTGTGCACTCAGTGCCTCTCTCATATGCTCAGCCTTTTTGATCATCCCCCTGAGTTCACATACTCGTTCAGGTTCGATGATCCCGTGTATTACATTGATTATGCCTTGGGGCGGACCATCGACCGGTATCCGATTCGGCCTGTTGCGGTCCTGGGGGGCTGGCCGTGTTCCCCTTCAATATATTGGTCCAGGTGGCCCGCGGCCACTAATTCCTCCAAATGTTGCCTTAATGGCGTACAGTTTTCAGTCTGGTGCCCCTTTTCATCATGGAAGGTGCAACGGTACCTATTATCATAGCCCTTCTGCGCTTCTCCCAACCTGGCTGGCCGCCGAACGAAGTTTTCATCGCTTATCTTGCTAAGAATCCGGTAGATAGGTTTATTGAATACTGTGGTGATGGCAGTGCGGACTCTCAACTTCCTTGCTTGGGGGTCCTCTCTGTTGGCTCGTCTGCCTCGTCCATTTTTGTTTGGTTGTTCTTCCCGCTCAACCGTGTTAACTTTTGCCACCAGTTTTTTATCTGACATCGCTGTTGTGCCAGCTTTTGTTTTGGTGCGCGCGACATCTTCTTCTACCCGGATGTGCTGATGTACTCTTTTTATTAGGGCCTCCATTGTAAGGGGTGGTGTCATCGTCATTGAATCCCTTAATTTATTGCCAGTCGGCAAACCTCGTTGGTACTGTACGATAGCTAGGTTTGTGGGACAATCTCCAATCTGATTAAAAGTCTTCCAATACCAGTTATTGTAAGACCTCAATGTTTCCTTTTTGCCCATGTCTATGGAGATAAGCTGGTCAATCTCCACTGGCGTCTTGGTCTTTATTTTGAATCTGGTCACAAATGCCTCCTCTAGTTATGCCCATGAAGCTATACTACCTTCTAGCAACCTCTCAAACCATGTTAAGCCCAGGTCACCTAGGCTGGAAGGAAACAGGATACACATTAGAGTCTCATTTCGCCGATACACGGCCACAACCTGGTGGAAGTGGCTTAAGTGCATGTAGGGGTCTGACTTCCCCTCATAAGTAGTAAATTCAGGCTGGTAGAAGCCTCAGGGTAATGGTACGCTCTCTATCACTGGAACGAACGGCAAGCTCTGCAACCTTGCTAACACATTGTCTGCTGGTTCATAAGCAAGGCGTGGCTCTGGCATTCCAACCTTGACACTCCCACGTGTTCTAGGAGCCTGAGTGTCTTCTCTCCCGCAAGCCTTTTCCTCTAGCACTGTCCGCAGGTCTACCGACCTAAGCAACTCTGTGTGCTTAGATGTTGTTTGGTGCGAATGTGAGGGTCGATAACTGCTTCCCTCTGTATAAGACCTTTCAGTCCTCGTTCTCTCAGACCTGGAGTAACAAGTCCTGGAAGTCCTGGAAGTCCTTGATTGTGTATTGCCTATTCTGAGGCTTCTACTTTCAGCTTGTGATGGTGTGACTTACCTGTCACGAACTTCTGAGTGGTAAGAGCATGTGTTGCCTTTGCGCTCATCTTCTATTGCCACCCTTTTTGCCTTTTATCTGGTGTTTCATTGTCTCCATGTCTGCCGCTATCCTTCGTATCAACTCGTCTTGCTCCCTTATGCGATCTTCTAGAACTTGAGGATCCAACCCCCGTCTCTGACTTTCAGGGCTTTGGGAGCGACGAGGACTGGAACCCCGTCTTTCTCATGTGTTCCTCTGTAGATTCCGTCACTGGGGATCTAATTCTACCATTTGCAGGACGAAAGGCAAACCTTCGTGCCTTCCGTCTCTTTCGCGATTTGCCCATCAATAATAAAATGTGGTAAGTCTTCATTGTGCGCCATAGATTTCAACTAAGAGAAACTCGATCAAAAAGTTTATTCTTTGTGTGTTTTCCCATAGACGGTGCCAATTATACGAGCACGAAATAATCTTCTCGTCTAATCCTGTTGATCAAGTTTGCACTTCTCCAAACGTCGTCGCTTTACTTCATGAAAACACAAACGTGAGTTAGCTGACGGTGGGTGTGCCGGAAACCTCTCCGATGCCTAAATCAATACAATAGACAATAGACACAAAAGTTTTGTGTTTTTTAAAGTAAGAGTTGTGATACCTGTACATAGGTCTTGTCATGAGCTTTTATAGATTTCCACATGGCACAAATCCTAGTAGGACTTCAACTCTCCTTAGTAGAGTCCTGCTAGGAATCACACTCCCAAGGATAATATCCATCCTGATAACACCCTACTCACTACCAACCAAGTGAAAAGGCTCAAATCTCCTACCTTGGCTCGGTAGTACACTCAACCGAGCTAGCATGGCCTTGCCCTACGCTGGACAAAACCCGAATGATCCCTGACCGAGATAAACCCTAGTTCGGTACGATACAAATCATACCCCGGTTCGAGCTGCTGACTACATCTAGCTCATCTGTTCCACACCTCGGCCTAATGTTTGTACACCTCAAGACCGAGCTACTGAAGCTCCTAGCTCGGCCGGAAGCGTGCCCCAACGAATTGAATTTACTTAGCTCGCCCAACTCTTAAAACAAATGAACCTAGCTTGGCCCAACTTATGCATATAAATTACCCTCTCATGGACAAACTAATTCAGCGCCTGAATTTCTCACCAAACAAAATTCAAAATTAAAACTTTGACCCGAGCGTCCTAAAATAGTTCGGGTATCACGATCCCAAATATATATAAAGATTGTGGACTAACCTTATGACTTTGAATTGAAGTTAAAGAATGAAAAAATGGATACAGAAATTAACATACGATAATATTCTCCTTTCACAGCAGCATGAAGAACAGGGCAACCATCTCTTGTCCTCAATCCCATCAACCACTCATCATCACTTATTTTTGAAAAAAAATCAAAAACAGCCCTATTCCCAAATGCAGCAGCAACATAAATCGGCGTCTCTCCCAACTCATTGCGCGCATTGATTAAATCTCCTTCCTTCTCCAGCATTGTTTCTGCCACATCCTTGTGGCCAAACCGCGCAGCTTCATGCAAAGCAATTTCGCCATTTGCATTACTTTTCTTAAGCTGTTCAGTGGTAAGTAAGCCATGCTTGTCCAGCTTTTTAATGGCAGTTATGTTGCCGTGGATGGCAAGGAAATGGAGGATCGTGTTGCCACGTCGGTCTACTATCGGTATCGTGCCTTCATTTTCTCTCCAGAAATTGCGGAGGATTTCGATGGAATTTTGTTTCTTCCCTGATGCTGCTTTGTATGCATCAGAGTGACTCACCATTTTGAGAACCGTATAATTGAAACATAGTTGATGTACAAAAATGGCCATTTATATGCATTTTACTAAAGAGAAATGGCCTATTTTGGGAAGGTTAAAAATCATTTTTTAGCTTTTAATTTATTTTGGATCATATCATTTTTCATAATTTTTATATATTTTTTTAGAAAAAGTAAAAAAAAAAAAAAAAATCGAAACGTCAATTTTTAACCATATTTTCAAAATGTTTTTGCCAAAGAAAAAGATGATTGTGATATGAACAATTTTTCACTCACACGAAAAGAATTATTTCACTAAGAGATTGAAAAAAATTCTTGAATATAATAAAGCCCATATAATAACACTTTTGCAACTTTCAATCAAAAAATTAGTAGACTAATACAAGCTGTTAAAAAATTAAAATTGTTAGTGACAAAAGAAATCAGCATGCATGTTTCTCATTGAAGATTCTACTTAGGTATCTGTTTACACCATAAATTAAGTTTTTTTGTTGTGTTGATTGTGACTTTTTAGTGTTTTGAGTGGTATCTTAGCGAAGAAATGAGAGGTTAATGACATGCAAAGGTAGAGAGAGAAAGGTGATTTTTTTTTTTTTTTTTCCCTCTCCTTTAACTTAATTTTTTTCTCTCTTTTTTCATTCTGCTCTCCTTTTTCTTCTTTAATACCCTCACCCCTTTTTCTTAAATCAACTTCCTTTCTCTCCTCAGACAACAATCCAAGATCCGACAACTCCTTTCTCCTTTTTTGACAATCAAAACCAACAATCCAAGATCCGACAAGTCCTTTCTTCTTTTTTTGACAATCAAAGCCAAATCCCTCCTTTTCCTCACCAAACAAAAACCCCACAAGACTTTCTTGCCATCAAGACTTTTCTCAACCCTCCAAAATAATTCTAAGAAACGACATGGCTACCCACAAGCCATTTCTCAAAACCACGTGGCCATCTCATGTGATATGAAAGCTAATTTTTTTTTAAAAGTGCTAAATTATTCGGATAAGAAAAAAATTTGAAAAATATTGTTGAATAAGTTTAAAATAATTTTGTGAAAATAGGTGTGAGGTTGGAATTAAAACTCAAATCTTACTTTCTGTTGCGAAATTTCACAAAATAGCATATTCTAATTTTCATCATCTGATATTTGGAAAAAAGTGCCCAAGTCTTAGGATCAGTCAAAATAGGGTGTCAGGTATTTTGTCAAGGGGTGCAGGTCTCTTAGTGTGGAGATGTAGACTATGCTAGTCTTGTTGCGGTTCATCAGTTCTTCAGAAGGAATTCCTAGATAATTTTCCAAAGGCGAAATAGAGCGACAAACAAATTTTCGGTAGGTGATCTCCAAAACCTATGCAGTTTCTGTTTTTTTTCTTTTTTTGTTGAGAGATTTGTGAGTTTTATTTTGTTGTAATATTTTCTTCTCCTCATCCTCCTCCTCCTCCTCCTCCTTTATTCGGAAATGCAATTATTCAAGTGATGTAATAATTCTCCACCCCGCTTCTTTCTATCCCATTCTTTTACTTGTTTTCCTTATCTGTAAATATGTAGTATATTTTGCTTGTCATCATATCCATTTTTTTGCAACCATGGTTTAGGCATTAAGATTCAGCTAAATTTGTATATGTGGTTTTAATCAATTATTATGTGATTTGTGCGCTACCTCATGTCTTGATATGATTCAGATATCATATATTAGAAGCTGGATCTTTAGTTGCATTTCATGAGTGAATTAAATTAGGATCTTATATATAGGATCATGCATGTGTTTACTAATTTTGTTTTTGTAATTATTTGCGGGATGTCGATAAATATGTAAATTTTCGTGCTTTAGCATCCTACCTGTGTGTGTTTTTCTTATTATGTTTAGTATCGTATCATGTGGGTATTTACTTATTTGATATAACTCTATGCATGCCGGTGGATGAAGGTTGCGTTATTTAATTTGGAATAAAATTGATTTTCATGTTTGTAAAATTCAATTTTCTGTGTTTTATACACTAGTCAAAACATTTTCAAAATAATGAAATCAAGTTTATTACAAAATGAATGACACAGTCTATATTTGTTTGCTTGACATAGTAAATTTTAGGATTTATTAAATATTTAGAAAATGAACATATAAAGTAAATAAAAATCATATCATGGTTTAGTAAAGGCTGATCTTTTGATCGGTTAAGTGGGGTTGCTCAATTAATGACTTTCCCTCTTCATACCTAAGGTTCCGAGCTAAGCATCCTTGGTTATGATGGTCAGTGGCCTTGGCACGAGTCACGAGTTTCCTAATTTTTTCAAAATATTAGGTGGCGACTTTGAGATCTAAAGGTGCAATATATTTATGGCAAAGATTCTTGCAATAAAATGAATTTCTATAAAACTTGTCGAATCTAGACTCTCATCTATGTTTCACATTGCACTCATGAGACTAGATCGAAGAAATCAAGGGTCCGAAATATTTAACGCGCGCGGATACCGCTGGGCACGTTATAGTTTGTGGCGACTCTGTTGGGGACATTAAGAAACTTTGACTCAAACTCCATGATATGATTTTTATTTTTAATTATATGTTCATTGCATTTCATGCATTGGTGTGCCTAGGTCCTGTGCTCATCACCTGTTATCCTGGACGGCTATTCGGCTTTGGGCGGATAGACGAACATGGGCTCTAATATGGTGGGAGCACAGGCCATGGAATCGGGATCACCCCGTACCGCTTGATCCGCTAGATTGGGTAGGTATATCAGTGTCTGTAGCTCGACTTTCTTCGCGCCTCCCTTTCGGAGAGCTCGATTTGGTCCTACAGTTCAGACTCCTGTCACGGTTCTGAATCTAATCTTACAAAGTGCAATGTGAGATTGATAAACACCAAAGAGTCCAATCCGGTAAATCATTTTGGAAAATCAGATTTTAGATCAAATAATGCCAAAAGTGGACTGCTTTGCCAGATTATAGAGTCACCACCTAAATATTTTATTTTGGAAAAATTTAGGAAACCCTGACTCGTGCCAAAGGCCACATGTTCGTCATCACCAAAGTTGTCTCGGCTTGGAAACTTGGGTACGAGAGGGGAAGGTTCTGAAATGAGCACCCCTGCTCGCCCGATCAAAAATCGGCCTCTATTATCATGATATGTTGTTTTATAAACACATGTGTTCTTATTCTAGTTATTTAGCTAACTTTACTATGTGACGCACACATACAAGTATAGACTAAAATCGTAAAAATTGCAACAAATTCAACTCATGTTTGTTTCTTCGAAAATGGTTTGAACTTGCCACCCTCAAGTGGGCTAAAACGCGGATTTGCCATCAAACATGATGGGCTTAAAACATGATTTGCCACTTTGTAAAGTGGGCTTTAAAACGTACATTTGTCGAATTGTTCCGATTCAAACAATCAAGCCTTCATCCACAGGCATTCATGCAGTTAATCATTTAAGCAAATAGCCTCATGGCAAGTATGCTATCATGGCAACACTCATACTCATGCAAGTATGCTGAAGCGTAAAAGCTTACCGAGTACTCTAAGCCAAAATAAAAGCTAGTTAGAAAGAATGTATGATCCTAACTATGTTAAGATGCCTAATGCAACACATGCAGTAATGCAATTAATAGGCTCGGCTACTAATATGGCATGTGATACAATTTGATAACATGCTTTGAAACACATGTTCAAATAAGTGTATGAAATTCAATGCAATTTGAATGATGCGCCGAGCCTCGGTGCATGCAATACAAATGAATGGATGGAAACATGCGAGCACAAGGTATGCTAATCAAAACGTGTCCCTAATCTAACCATCTAAAGCGATTAAACAAAAAGGAGAAATACATGGGGTTGGAAGACACGCACACACACGCACACTTATTACAACATTGCGCCCTCGCGAAGGAGGGTTAGAATGAATAAGCTAAGCTACACTAAGCACTAAGCTAAGCTAATTATTACAAAACGAAACTAATTAACTATTCTAGTTAACTAATTATTACAACACAATTGAATAACTAGCTATGCTAAGCTAATTAAAATACAACACTTGACTTGAATAATTAGCTACACTAACTAACTAGTAAAGTGATTTAAACGGCCTTGAGGGACGAGGGACGCATGCATGCTCGGTTGCTCCACCAAAAAATGCCCTTGCCTTGCCATCGGATGCCTCTGTTTGCACTCGTTTGATCTCAGAAAACTATACCAACTTCCAGATTGCCTCTGCTCCAACATAAGAATACAATTGCACAAAAATTCACTGGTGGCCGATCAGCCACAAAAAGTGGCTGTCGGCCACCTTAAGTGGCCGGTCGGCCACCTCCATTTTCGGACTTTTACTTTTGCTGCAACAGAGAGCAAATAGAGGCAAAGCAATGCATTTTCAAGAAATGTGTGTACTGCTACCCTCCTTGTCATCTCTCAAGCTCAAAGGAGTGTGGTTCTTAGCTTTTAAGCCACCAATCAAGCATTTTCAATGCATGATGGCCAAAGAGCCAAGCTTATACAAGGTCAATGAATGCACAAACAAGACCAAAACAACCACCACCCTAGCATGCATGATCAAGGGTGACGGTGACCAAGAAAAATGACACGTTTCATCACTTTGAGTATGAAACGTTCAATTTTTCTTGTGTTTGGATTAACGTCCGATCCAAACACATGCAATGCAACACAACATGCTTATCCTGTTCATGTTTTACTTGTCCAATTTGTTTACACATTTTACATTACCAAATCATTCTTTAACCGGTTAAGTCCAAGGTGAGTGTCCTTTAATGAGAGAGGGGTCAACCAAAGGTTGGCTTAAGACATGAAAGAGATCATGTCGTTGGTTAGTAAAAACCCTCAAAAGAGGATTAAAACTATTTAGCACAAGTCTCAATCTCAAGCTTAAACATAACCTTAAGGCTAACCAACCTCAAAGAAAATGGAAAAGTGAAGAAATGAGGGAGGTTGTAGATATTTTAGTGCTGAAATGACATGTAAAATGATACTACAACATGCAAGCAAATCATGCACAACATGTTTAAAAGCCAAAAGCACCAAACTAGTGAAGATCACTACACTATAG